CTAACAAGTGATCCAATGGCCAAAAAATTTTCTTTTAAACCCAAGCTATGATCACTGAATTTTGTAAAACTTAGTTTACAGGTGAAGTCCTCTTGGAAACTTGTTCTATGGACTCAACAGGCACATAATTGATCAAATCAGACTTTTTGATCCACACAGTTCTCACTCGTACTTCCTGAAATTCTTTTTCTCTCTTTACCTCTTTTTTAGGCAAAATTTCTGTTCTAGGAACCTTAGGTGTCAATTTCTTTTTTCCTTTAGAATGCACCTTGTTCTTAGCATGAGAATTTTGAGAATCAATTTTCAAAACATCTTTCTTTTTCCTATAAAGGCATGAGTTATACTTATGTCCATTTTTTCCACAAAAAATGCAATGCAACAATTTAGGCATATAAGACATAGCAGAATGTGATGCATCAGGCAAACATGGTTTAGGCATAAAAGCAAGTTTGACAAACATTGTTTTACCTTGATTACTAGAAGACCCTTTCACAAACCCTAACCCTATTTTATCATTCACATCCTTACCCATATTGATTATCTTATTCAAACTGTTTTGACTCATATTGAACCCTTCAGTTTATCTTTTTCAGATTTCAATTCAATTTCATGATAATCATTTTTCAAAGCAAGACATTCCTTTAATGAGTTAGCAACATTTACCTTATCCTCAAGAATGATGATCTATTTTTTAAGCTCAGTAATGACAGACTTGCTTTCAACAGCCTTCCTTTTGCATTCATCAATCTGTTTCTTTAGATCTTCATTCTCTCCTTTTGCTTGGATAAGCTCATTTGCTAGCTTATTGATTACCTGTTTGGTCTCAATGGTTTCTCTGACCATCTTCTTCAGTCTTTCATCATCCTTTTCATCCTCTTCAACCTGTTCATCAAGAACTTCACTATCTTCATTATCTGAACTGTCAGAGTCAGATAAATGAACGACAGGAGAACCCCTATCAAGAAAAGCGACATAAAAAAAATCATTAGTATCATCCTGAGGAGAATCACTATCACTTAAAGTAGACTTTTCAATCATATAAACTTTCATTGTTTTTCCTTTATTCCTATCATTTTGTTCTTTCCTAGGACTAGGATAAACATTGGATGCATGACCTTTGCCACCACAATTCCGGCAAGTAAATTCAGTTTCTTTTGATTCTTCTATTTTTTCTCATTAAACCTAAACTTTTACGTCTTGTCAAAATTTTGAGGATTAGCCATGTTGCTATTCCTTCTCCTCTGTTGCCTTTGCAAAATCTAATTGAATTGCCTTGGCAAGAATGCAATATCATCATCAGAGTCATCATTCATAGAATTCTCAACCTGTGTAGATTTTAAAGCAAGATTCTTCTCCTTCTGACTTAAATCAAAATTCTGCATCTCAAAAGTTTTTAATGAACCTACCATCTCATCAACTTGACAGGTAGTCAAATCCCAATGTTCAGAGATGATTTCAACCCTAATCTGGAATCTTTTAGGTAAAAACCTTAAGATTTTCTCACAGATTTTTTTATCACTAACTTTTTTCCCTAAGTGATGCAGTTTAGAAATTATTTCAAGAAGACTAGAATAAAAATTAGAAAATGATTCATCTTCTTTCATCACAATGTTGCCAAATTTATAAGAAAGCAACTAAATTTTGGACAACTTCACTTTTGAAGTTCCTTCATGAGTAACGTGCAAAATATCCCAAGGTTTTTTAGCAGTTTTACAAAATCAGAAATTCTAGTATATTCAAATGGAACAACAGAATTAATAATTGAATATAAAACTTTGCAATTAGCATCATTACACTCTGTTTCAATAACAGTAAAAGCAAAAGTATCTTTTAACTCTTTGACTATTTTACCATCCACAGTTGTATCTACTATAGGAGGTGTATAGCCATATTCAACTATTGCCCAAGTTTTACCACCAGAATTTTGCAAATAGGCTCTCATCTTTGATTTCCAAAAATTATAATTATCTCCTTCAAATAAAGGACCACGTTGATTAGAACCGCCTTCTTTCAACGCATAAGACATGATTAAATAGTTTTTGAAAACAAAACTAAACTTTCCAACAAGGATCAACTCAATGTATCGAAAATGGCTCTGATACCAATTTGTGAGTCGTACGCAGCGGAATGTATTTAGGAAAGTTTTAGGGTTTTTTAAATAGATCTGTGTCGCTACCAACTTTACTTATTTTAACAATTAAACAGTTAATCACATGCAGATAAAATAAAGCAAAGTATAAAGTTAGAGATGACACCAGGATTTTAGCGAGGAAACCCCAGTTGATAAAATACGTCAACTGTAATGGGAAAAACCTCGTGGACTTATGTAGTTCAAAGTAAACCAATCCACTATATTTGAAACAAAGTATACCGAACTTTGACTCTGGCTCATACCCTATCGTTCTACACCACACCAACCGCTGACGATCCTCTAACTTTGTGACTCCCCGTCCAACAGCAACTTAACCTCAGGCTTACACTTGATATTTATAAAAGAGTAGCAGGTAGATCATACAACACTTCTCGAATGCTCCAACCCTTTCAAAGTGTGACTGCGTTTACTTCTGTTCTTCAATTGTCTGAATGATATCGAAGAAGATCTGCTTCGTCTGATCGATGTTAATCCACCTGTATGATCATGATCAGAATTCGAACACCACAACTCTAAACTCTGTGTTTATGTATATGTATTCTAGAAAGATATCAGAAAAATCAACTCTGATTTTCTACAAAAATAATCTTCCTAAGGCTTTGAATAATATCTGAATAATAATGTAAAAGTCGTGAATAAACCAATGTCTATGACATGGTTTATATAGAGTATAGAATGACCTAATTCCTCTGAAAATAAGGTAAATTTCGTGCATAGGATTTGGTACAATTCTAGACCAACTGGGAAATAATTCAGAAAAAGGAAACTGAAGTTGTATTGCAAACAGGACATCTTGAACCGGTTCAAGGAGGTTGAACCGGTTCAAGTTTGGCAGTGTATCAAACTTGAACATCTTGAACCGGTTCAAGGAAGCTGAACAGGTTCAAGGTTGGCAAACTTGAATTTCGAGTTCTTTCAGCCTTGTTTCATTCTACGGGAATTGTAGATCAACATGGTAAGGTAGAATGTCCAACCTTGTTCATATTCCTTCCTATAATAGTGTTCTTACCCTTCTCTTCATAAACTCTTCAAATATGGTAAGTTCAAACCTCTTCCCAAAACTGTAGTCCCTGTCGACCTCAATGACTTGTAAAACAAGTATTACAACTACAACTCAACTTGGACTTGTTATGTCTACGATAATTGCCAAAAAATAATTAATATCTCACAATTTTCTCAGTTCCTGCCTCATGGATTTGGTCAATATGGTGAGTCCCCATAATCAGCTATACAAATTAAAGCCAAAAAAGAAACCAACTATTCTTATTCAAGTTAAAGGCGCCCAAAAAAAATTCTTATACTATACTCAATAAATAAATAAATAAATATATATATATATATATATATATATATATTCTTTCCGAAAGTTCAAGTACACGCACACATACTCACAATATTGCCTCTAGCATACTCGAACACTCAACCTCTCCTTTGGACTAATAACCATTGGTTACTATTCAATCTTGCTTGTTGCACAAATGCACCAAAATACTTGCATCCTAAAATGTGTTGACCTGCCTCACGCTATGTAGATTTTGTCCGTTTTGCACATTCTCCGTACTTACGGTTTTCAAACGCGTCTACACATTTAAAAGGCATCCACACATAACTAAAGGCAACTTCTCCTCATGGACAATATCTACACAGGGTGGGTTGCATTAATTTGAACCACAGTTGCATCAAATCAGTAGTGTAACCCTATAACACAAACGTTATAGTGTAACCCTAAATACAAAAATCCAAGAACATACCATAATGTGAGAGAAAAAAATAAGAGTTTTATGTATAATCATACCATAAACTTGAATTATGAAAATATTCTTGCTAGGTAAGCACCCAATTAAATATGTTGAACATAGTCGGTTGTTTTGTGTTTTGCACAGGTATTTCATGCGTTTATGAGAGCAATTTTTTTTAGCTTATTCAATTTTTTTCAAATGGGAGGTATCATTGGTGCTCTGTTTTTCTATGAATGTGCTCTATGGTAGTAATTTTGCCAGAACCACATTTCTTAATGTGAGTTGCATATTTCAAAAACTAGAGCACAAAGAGAGCTCAATATTCTATTGGTTCGTCCATCATTAGCTTAGAACCCCATTCATCACATGTTTACCTCACCTTGTTTGTGTTAGTTCACTTGTATTATATTTGGGCTATAGTACTAAAACTATTCACTATAACATATCTAGTCATGAATATAACTCTATTTGACACTCTTTCTAAGTTGAATCGAGTTTTTAACTATGACAAGCACAGACAGGACTTGTTATTGTTGATATCAGTGATATGATAGCAATGACTGGCCTATTTTACAGAGAGAAGGTTCAGATTCTATGAAGGAATTGATCAATGAAGCAATATCAGAGAAGCTTGACATAAAAAGCCTCGCTTCTACTTCAAGCACATTGCGCATAGCAGATTTGGGATGTTCAGTCGGGCCAAATAGGTTCATTGCTATGCAAAATGTACTGCAAGCCATGGAAAAGAAGTACCATTCCCAAGGCCTCCCACCTAAAATGCTCGAATTCCAAGTGTTCTTCAATGATCACGATTCCAATGATTTCAATACCCTTCTTGCTTCTCTCCCATTTGATAGGCACATATTCATATAAAATTAATCGGATTTGTCCGACTGTTGGACTCCCTATCATTACTATTCCACATAACATCCTTTATCTTGTCAACTTTGATGAGTCTGTTGCATTTGAATCTTGTGTCAGATCTTGTGTGTAACCCGGGTAACGCAAACCTGTATTACAGGGATTAGTGTGTGATGATCAAGTGGATTCATTCAACTTGCCAATGTATTTTCCCACCCCCAAGGAGATGGCGCAGCTGGTTGAAAAAGATGGGCGTTTCAGTATTGAGAATGGAGTTGATGGAGCACAGTTCAAAGATTAATGCCCCAGTTGATGGGCAGACATTGATACTGCACCTACGAGCTAGCATGGAAGGGATTTTCGCCAAACACTTTGGACATGATATAGTTGATAAAATGTTTGATCGGGCTTTTAAAAAAACCTGCAGAGGTATCTTGTGTGCTGGAGTAAACAAACACGATAAAAACCAACCTTTTTATTGTTTTGACGCGTAAATGATGTGAGTTGAAAATGGTCTTAGCCTCCTCATTAAAAAAATGCATATTTTGAATTGGATGCAGATTGGAACTTAAATCATTCCTCTAGTACTCTATAACTTCCCATCGTCATTGTTTGAAGAACCATAATGCATACCTTTATTACAGAAATTAGTCAGTGAAGCACAAGTGATTCGTTCAAGGAGATGGTGTGCTTATTGAAAGAATGGTATTGATGGATGCCAGGTCAAAGATTGATTCCCCACTTTTTGTGCGGTGCGGACATTGACAATGCACCAATCGTTTGGATGGGTGACTGTTAGTGAAATGTTGGAGCAGACTTTGCCTGTGTCTGCTATCTTCTCTTTTTTTCCTACTGTATTTAGAAAATCTATGGTTAAAAACTATACTGTGTTGGAATATTTGGTGTTCAAAAATATAATTGAGTTGTAATCTTTGTTTTTGAGTCCTTGTGATGTGTTTGAAGAGCTTCAAAGTTCAATTGATTTTGTGGTTCAAATGCAGACATTTAAAGCTTTGATAATGGAGAATGCACGCTCTAGGTACAGGGATACATGGAGTGGTGTGAGGACTTTTTGCATTTAAGCTAATATGTGGAAGTGTTCAAACTAGTAGGAGTTGGAAATTTGGCCAAGTGTATGAACCGTAAGTTTCCACCAATTTGATATTTGTTTGTGCCATTTATTGTGGCCTCGCAGATCGTCTGGAGAAAAAGTCATTGAGGCTTGTGTGTGCGTGGACATTCTTAACTGTACAGATGTGTTTCGAATAAAATGATGGAGAGAAGAATGTACAAAGCGGGCAATATTTACCTCTTATGGGACGGTAGTAGCTATTGTGTAACTTTTCTTACCAGGTGGAACAATCAAAAGAATGGTGTTGATCGAGAAATGGAAGACATCAATGAATTTTTTTCTTACTAATTTTTAACTTACGAATTTTTATGGGATACAACCTTTGAGTGTTTAATAATTGAGGAGAGTAATTTTTCCTCCAATTTTAATAAATTGTAAATTTGTAATATATTTTTAATATTTTCCTTACTAATTGTTTTACATTAATACATAATAGTGTTGTAACATGTTAATTAAATCATTATAAATGGTTTGAAAAGAAAAAAAAAAAAAAACATTAATTTTCCAAAAATACGAAAAACAACTTGTGCATTTAGTAACGTTTTCGTTTTTTGTTTTTGCAGTCTTAAGAAAGCAGAAACATGATTTTGCTTTCTTGAGTGAAAATTGAAAACAGAAATGATGTTTATTAACACTTGTTGTTGTCATAAATTTGAAAATATAAAACAATAATTGTATTTAGTAATACAACATATTTGTTACAAAATATATATAATATTTTTTAAATTTTTTATTTTTATTTTTTTCATGGCAAGAATTTTAGGATTTATTGATTGGAGGGGAGGGTAGATAACTTGAACACGAACTCTCGGACATACGTTGTAACCTAACCACTCAGGCATGACACTTACTTCCATTAACATCAAAAAGCCATAAATCTAAAAAATTTAATTTAAAATTATAAATCTTAAAAATACACAATACATCATGAGTACAAAATTAGATATACCAAGACAAAAATATTCCTACCAATTATGTATATAAATACATGTATATGCATTATGTATACATTTATTATGTGACATATAATATATTTAGCATATGATAATTTATTATGAATAAAAAATATTAAATAATATATCTTATATATAATAAAATATATATTGTGTTATAATATTGTAAATTAATTATAATTTAATATTTACGTATAATATAATATAGATATGATATATAATAATATAAAATATCTATTGTTTATTAGTTTAATAACATTATGTTCTATATCAAAAATTATTTTGTCACAAAAAATAATTCACATTATTATTTAATATATTATATATTAAAATATATTTTTATCAAATAGAAATTAATATACAATATTTAATTTATTCTATATTAAAAATATATATTTTTATTAACATTTAATATGCAACTTATTATATAATACAAATAATATAAATTTTATTTGAAATGAATAGTGCCTGTATAGTAACATTAGGGAAAACGTTTTTGCGCTACCGTACCGAAAACACAAGAAACATCATTTCTTCACAAAAATTGAAAACGTTTTCTGTTAAAAAAAAAAAAAAAAAAGCATTTTATTAGATGCGATTTTTGTTTTCGTTTTGCCTTTTTAAGAGATTGACAACAAAAAACAAAAAACGTTTCTCGTTACTGCACCCTAAACAAACGTGTTGGTTGGATTCCTGTTGATACCATTCCCATGGGTTCGGTAAATAATAAAATATAGGGCCCATGTTATTCTAATTGGTCGGTATTGGATCGAGTTTGAGCTCATATGATTCAACCAACCCGACCCATTTCCACAACCAATTCCAGATTGTAGTGGCGGGAAGAAAGCGGGAAATACGCATACTAGTACTCTGTATTTCTCAGCTAGTTCCACAATAACTACACAAGTTAAACTCCTATTTGATATACATATATATGTATACGAGTTTTTTTATTTTTATTTTTTATATTACTACATCAAAAATTAGGGTTCATAGTTTTCAATCTGTTTGATCAGTGCCTCTCTTTGCATCCAAAGAAGAAGAAGATTTCCAGGGTTTTGTATTTTCTCTTTCTATACATCTTTTTTCCAGATTTTCTTTTCTCGCTATTTGAAATCTATCTCCATATATATGCACACCCGGTATATGGATATAACCGATGGCTTTTGAAGGGATTAGTGTGATTTTTATTTGCTGTCGTCTGGTTTTGTTTGAATCGGCCATTGATTCTTATTTGGTTGCTTCTGAGGCCTTTTCTGAATAGATTTTCCTTTGATTCCAAATTAGTGTCTCAACTGGTTAGGTTTTCAAATTGTTATCTCCTTTTGTGGGTTTGTATCGAAATTGTTGTTTTGGGATTGATTATATAACTCCATGGAAGGTTTGACTGAGTTGTTGGAGAAAAAATCTAAAGCTAGAGAAAAAGCAAAGATTGAAGAGGCTGTTGTTGTTGAGAAATCTCCGGACGGCCAATACCTTCGGTATGATGAGATATTGGGGGGAGGAGCATTCAAGACTGTTTACAATGGGTTTGATTCAATTAATGGAGTAGAAGTTGCTTGGAGCCAAGTGAGTACTGATGCCGACAACACATTCAACATTATGCAGAGAGATTGTATTCAGAGGCTCACCTTCTGAAGTCATTGAAACATGAAAACATTGTCAGGTGGGAGGATGAGAAGAACAAGACTATCAACATCATCACTGAGTACTTCACTTCTGGGAGTTTGAGGCAATTTCATACAAAGCATAAGAGGTTTCATATAGTCGCGATTAAGAAGTGGGCGAGGCAGATTGTCCGAGGTTTACACTATCTCCACAGTCACACCATTATTCATGAAGATCTCAAGTGTGAGAATATTTTTGTGAATGGCAATAGTGCAGAGTTAAAAATTGGGGGTCTTGCGTTGGCTTCTGTTATGCATTCTCCAAGTAGTGGTGTTGGCACTCCTGAATTGGTTTACCAACTGTTTGATATATGTTCCTTTGGAATGTGCCTGCTAGAGTTGGTTTCTTGTGAAAACCTATATAGTGAATGCAAAAGTCAAGCACAAGTATATAAGGTTTTGTCTGGGTTGATGAAGCCAACTGCTCTTGAGAGGGTGAAAGATCCCCAAGTGAGGCAGTTTATAGAGAAGTGTTTGGTTCCAACATCACTGGGTTTGTCCGTGGCAGAGCTGTTGAAAGATCCCTTCCTTTCGTCTCCAAATTCAAAGGGGCTTATTTGTGATCCTCTTGTGCCAATAAATGTGCCGAAGTCCGATTCTATTCTGATGGACATAGAAAGTAGCAACAAACTTTCAGCCAGCACGTTTACAGATCTTTCAGCTCCAGAGTTTCAGTGGTTCAATGGGAAAAGTGGATTCGGATTAAGAGGTCAGAAAGCTGATGATAACTCGGTTTCATTGACCTTGCGTGTTGCTAACTTGTGTGGTCAGGTGAATACAATTGAGTTTAAGTTTGATCTTAATACTGACACTGTACCCTCAATAGCTGGTGAGATGGTTGAACAACTCAATTTTTTGTCCGAGGATGATGAGCCATCATTAGTCAAGTTAATGGACAGGTTGATTGACAAACTTGTACCCAACTGGAAAAATTCATCAGGAAATGGATTAACAGGTTCATATGGGAATTCTGCTGTACTTCAACATGATCAAAACTCACAAAGTTTGTCTGTTTTGAGATCCGATGATGAAAATACTGATCAACACAAAAAAGGTAGTGTTCGGGGGAATGTCATATCGAGTGAACTAATGAAGGTTTCAGAGATACCCCTCTGCTGCTTGTGCACTGTCTAAGGAGATGAGTTTGTTAAGTCTCTTTTCACCATCTGAAGCAGACGATGATCGGTTGAAGCTGAAGCTTAATGGTATTGAGATGGAATACTACCAACGGCTTTGTGAACTCTTGAGAATGAGGGAGGATGCTATATATGATGCCAGACAGAGGTGTATAAAAAAGAATTAGATATCTTCTTCAGTTTTTTTCTATTTTTTTTTTTTTTTTTTTTTTGATGTAAATAGATTTTATTTTCTCAAATACAATTCAGAATATACATGTTTCAGTTTTTAAAGAAATGAAAGTGTCATGTTCTTTCAGCATTGCTTGAATGATTATATAATGAATTTGTTATTTCTTACACACACACACACACGTATTTCTTACCCACACACACATACGTGTGTGTGTGTGTGTGTGTATATTTACTTCTCTTTTGTTATTTTTTTAGCTTGCCTTGTCTGCTGTTGTTTCAAATATGGTCAACTCAGGCCCTGGTAGTGCAGTGACAATTCTAATAGAGTAGCCCCATCAGCTGGTGCTTGTTTGACACTAGTTTGAAATAACAAACAAATTGAAAGCTGAGACGTGTGATGGTGGTTAGATTTTTTAGCCTGTGTTATAAGCTTGGCATAAACATTATAGTGCATTTCATAAATTCTCCCATAATTTTTTAGCAACCAGATTGCTAGCTTACTGTCCTGTTTGGTAACTTATGATTTTGGTAGCTTATTATGACGTCCCGCCGATGGAGGTTATGCCACGCAAGCAACACACAAGTGCTGAGTAGGACGCTGCATGGCGAGAGAAATTTATGAAGTCTTCCAGAGTTATCTAGAGTAGTATGGAGGATTCTATACCCACTGAACAGTTGGCAGGGCCAAAATTCAAACAAACAGGGACCATATGCATATTGTTGGGACACTAAACCAAATTCTAGAAATTTCTGAATATTAAGTGTTGAAAGGTTCATTGTTTTTGGAAGATTGAAGGCCATATATTAGGTTCATGTTCTTTGAAAGACTAAAAGATCTTAATTAATATGTATCTAAAGTATTCATGTATCTAGTGCATTCATGTAGCCACAAAGCCATATACACAGTCCTATGTATTGTATTGAAGATATGAAGAAAAGAAATAGAAAGTATCATTTCAGAAATTAAAGTATTTTCTTCTTCTATTATGTTTTCCTACAAATAGGTATCAGAGCCAATTTTAAACAAGAAGGTAGCAGAAAAAATTTAAGAATTATCTCATTGCAAATACAAGCAATTGGGCTTCTCTTATTCCTTGTTTCAATGGAGACAATTATGACTATTGGAGCAACAATGTACAGGTGCTGCTCAAATCAATGAAGTTATGGAATGTTGTTGAAGAGGGTTTTGATGAACCCGAAAATGAAGATGATTTAACTCAAGCACAAAAGAATGCTTTGAATGAGAAGCGAGAAAAGGATAGCAAGGCACTTTTCACAATCTACCAAACAATTGAAATGCCGATCTACGAAAGAATTGCAAAAGCCACCAAATCCAAGCAAGCTTGGGAGATTATACAAGCGGCATACAAAGGTGAGGAAAAAGTGAAAAAGATAGTCTTCAAACCTTAAGATCGGAATTTGAGAAGTTAGAAATGTAGAGAATTCATCTATTTCCGAGTATTTTACAAATGTTACATCCATAGTAAATCAAATGGCTTCCAATGGAGAAATTTTAGAAGATGAAAGAGTGGTTGAAAAAAATTCTTCGCAGCTTGCCTAAAAAATTTGATTATGTTGTAGTTGCCATTGAAGAATCTAGAGATCTCTCTTCCCTTTCTCTAGATGATTTATTGGGAACTTTGAAGGCTCATAAAATTCGGATCAATCAAAGAAATCCTCCTCCTCCTTTTGACCAAGCTCTTAAATCTCAAGTTTCAATTACGGGAGGTCGTGGTAACAACCATGGTCGAGGCCGTGGAAGGAGTGGACATTTCCGAGGAAGACGTTCTAATTTCCATGGAAGAGGAAGAGCTTTTTCAAAAAATGAAAATTCTTCCTAGGAAGATGAGAAAAATCAACACACAAATTTTTCACAAAGAGGAAGAGGCCGTGGTTTTTACCAAAGAAGAAAAGGCTATGTTGAATGTTTTCATTGCATAAACCCGGTCACAAAATTAGTGAATGTTGGTACAAACAAGCTAAAAAAAATGAGACTGGTTTTATGCATGAAAACAAGTTTGATTTCCATGAAAATGACTCTCATGAAACTTTGTTGATTGCATGTCATGGTGATAATACTGATGATGTATGGTACTTGGATAGTGGTTCTAGCAAGCACATGACCGGCAACAAAAATTTGTTTTCAAATTTGGTTGAAGTGGATCATAGCCAAGTAACAATTGGAGATGCCAAAGCTTACAAAATTCAAGGCATTGGAGAAGTTTCATTCAAAACAAATTCCGGCAAAATTGAGAAAATGTCGGAAGTTTATTATGTGCCCGGCTTGAAAGGTAATTTACTTAGCACCGGTCATCTTTGGCGGAAAGGATATGATATTCATTTTCATGACAATGCATGCATCCTGACAAAGAACAATCAGCTTGTTGCTAAAATTGGGATGGCGGCTAACAATCTTTTTCCTCTCAAGCTCCAAATTGCTAATATTTCTTGTTTCACTAGTGTTGACAAAGGAGACTCCAAGTTGTGGCATGACAGGTTTGGACACTTTAATTTTGGAAGTTTAAAATTGTTGGTGTCAAAGAAAATGGTGGAAGGGCTGCCTCAAATTGAAAGTATAGATGGAATTTGTGAAGAATGCATGCTTGGAAAGCAACATAGAGATCAATTTCCTTCACAATCCTTGTGGCATGCCAAGCATCCATTGGAGCTTGTTCATACGGATTTGTGTGGTCCATTGCCGATTCCATCTCTTGGAGGTAATAGATATTTTCTCCTATTTATTGATGACTTCACTAGAAAAAATTGGGTATATCTTCTCAAAGAAAAATCTCAATCATTTCAAGCTTTTAAAGATTGTAAGCCCAAGTTGAAAAAAATTTCGGTTTTCCAATTAAAACATTAAGAAGTGATCAAGGGCGTGAATATCTTTTCAATGAATTTGAGACGTTGTGTAGAGATATTGGCATATGGCATGAGTTAACAGTTAGACGCACACCACAACAAAATGGTGTGAGTGAAAGGAAAAATAGAACGGTCATGGAAATGGCAAGATGCATGCTTAAATGAAGAAAAAATTGCCGTCAGAATTTTGGACGGAAGCAGTATCTTGTGCTATTTATTTGATCAACAAATCTCCCACAAAAATTTTGAAGAATCGTACACCTCATGAAGCATGGTATGGAAGAAAGCCTAGTGTTTAACACTTGAAGATTTTTGGAAATGTTGCTTATGCACATATTCCGGATGTGATGAGAAATAAGCTTGATAATAAGGCAGAAAAATGCATTTTTATTGGGTATAGTGAAAGGTCCAAAGCCTATAAGCTATACAATCCGGAAACAAAGAAAGTTGTGATTAGTAGAGATGTAAAATTTAATGAAAAGGCTTCTTTTCTTGATTCAAAAATAAGTGGTTCTTCAAATGCAACAATTTTTAATGATTTTCAAGGTGAAGAAATTAATGGTGATTTATCTTCAACATGCCCTTCATCAAGTGAAAGATCCTCTCAAGGCCCTCCATCTTCTGATGGGAGGAAGACAAGAAGCTTGCAAGAACTTTATGAATCTACCAATGAAGTGAATCAAGACAACCCTGTCTTTTTTGCTTTCTTTGTAAGGGAAGATCCAATCTCTTATGAAGAAGCATGCAAAGAGGAAAAGTGAAAGAAAGCAATGAATGAAGAAATTAATGCCATTGAAAAGAATGGTACATGGGAGTTGGCTAATCTACCACCAAACAAAAATTCCATTGGTGTGAAATGGGTTTTCAAGACAAGGTGAATCTCGATAGCTCCATCAACAAGTACAAAGCACCGCTTGTTGCAAAAGGTTACAAACAAAAAGAAAGGGAGGATTATAATGAGGTATTTGCTCCGGTCTCTCGACTTGATACCATTCATTTGATAATTTCTCTTGCTGCCCAAAATGATTGGAAGTTGTTCCAAATGGATTTAAATCCGCTTTTTTGAATAGGATCCTTGAAGAAGAAATTTATGTTGAACAACCTCTTGGGTTTGTGAAAAATGGGAAAGAACAAAATGTGTATAAGCTTAACAAAGCTTTATATGGCTTGAAGCAATCCCCACGAGCTTGGTATAGTTACATTAATTCATATTTTGAGAGAAATGCTTTTCAAAAGTGTCCTTATGAACACACACTCTATATCAAAAATGATTTGGAAGGAGGCTTCATGATTGTGAGTCTTTATATTAATAACTTGATTTTTACCGGCAATAATCTGAAATTGTTGAATGATTTTAAAGTCTCAATGATGAAAGAATTTGAAATGATGGACTTGGGTGAGCTACATCATTTTTTGGGCATTAAAGTTCATCAATCTAAAGAGGGAATTTTTATTTCTCAAGAAAGTTATGCTAGAAAAATTCAGGAAAAATTCAAGATGGAGCAAGCCAATCCTGTCTCAACACCATACATCACCGGAATAAAATTAAGCAAAAATGGTGAAGGAAAGCTTGTTGATTCTACCATGTTTCAAAGTTTGGTTGGAAATTTGATGTACTTAACCGCTACAAGGCCGGATATAATGTTTGCAGTAAGTTTGGTTAGCCGGTTTATAGAGAAACCACATTCAAGTCATTGGGAGGTTGCAAAAAGAATTTTGAGGTACATGAAAGGAACCATTGATTATGGTATTTTTTTATCAACCAAATGTTCTGGTTAAACTTATTGGCAACACGGATAGTGAATTGGTGGGAAGTATTGATGATAGTAAGAGCACATTCGGCTATGTCTTTAATCTTAGAAGCGGTGCAATTTCATGGAGTTCGAAGAAGCAAGCTATTGTGGCTCTTTCTACAACGAAAGCGGAGTATATTGCTGCCTCACTTGCTGGTTGTCAAATCATTTGGTTGCAAGGTATTTTGGAAAGTCTCAAGCACAAGCAAATCAGTCCAACTATATTGTTGTGTGACAATAGTTCAACCATTTCAGTTACAAAAGATCCAGTTCTTCATGGGAAAACTAAGCATATCCATATTCGCTATCATTTCTTAAAGGAGCTTGTGAATGAAGAAGTTATTCATGTCACATATTGCAAAACAGATGAACAAATGGCGGAC